ATAGCCGAGTAAACATAGATGGATGCCAATTAATATTCACGCAACAGCAGGCCCCGGTAAGCTCGAGATGAGAAGTGCAATTAGTACTCATTCATGAACATGAACTAGTGAACTAGTATGTCAGTCATGTCAGAAATGGAACGTGTAATCCTTTGCAATGTCATGAAAGCCGTTCCGACTGTGGATATTCGACGTCAAAGCCAGAACTACTTAGGTAATGCACTAAGTACTCCAAATAAACAGCTTTGCTATAACATCTCCCCTGAACTTACAAAGCTGCTCTCAGAACCGAGTGGATCAATCGTTCCGAGAACCGAGGGATTACAACGAATTATAGATAGACCTTTAAAGATATTAGGTCAATCAATAACATCGTAAAGGAAATAAAACAAAATATTTAATACCGGTGCGAAATAACACGAAATTTTTATTTCAATAGAATTTAATTATTTAAGCGCCCCTCGCAACGAACGGTGGCCTTGGATTATTTTTTTCACAGAGATAGATAGTTGTATCTACGAGTAAAATATACAAAGTTACCTGTTTTAATCTCGAAAACGTTTGGATCTGTTGCTACAATTTTTTTTTTGCGTTTTCACAGAACAATTTTCGCGTAGTGCTATTTTAAGGCTTAGGAAATAATCCATTTATTTTCACATCAAATTTTTCGGACAACGTAACGGAATTATAAGTTACGTCATATCTGTGTAATAAAAGTTTTTTCAAAGTAGTAGTAAGTACCTACCAGGTGGCAGAATTTAAAAAAAATACTCGATTGAGTTTCTAGAAGAGATCTAGAAATCAACAAAATTACATGACATTATTTGTTAATGAAAGAGCGAATGGTTTTTTTTATGTAATAGGTCGGCAAACGAGCAGACGGATAACCTGATGGTAAGCAGCGCCGCCCATGGACACCCGCACTCGCAACGGAGGAGTTACAAGTGCGTTGCCGACCCTCTAGGGACTAGAGATTTGGAGATTAAGGGATTGAGGAGGGATTGGGGGAGGGGAAGGATTGGGACTCCGGTAACCTCACTCACACGACGAAACCCAACGCTGTGGTTGTTTCACGCCGGTTTTCTGTGAGGCCGTGGTATCACTCCGGTCGAGCCGACATGAAGAAGCATGGCTCTCCCACACTTATTCTTCTTGGTTATTTCCAGAAGAAAGAAGAAATTCGAGGTTACATAATAAACCGTTCGAAATTACAATTATAACATTGTTTTAAAATCAATTAGTGCGCCAGTTGCGTAGTATAAATTAATATTGAAATAAATGCTTTCACTAACTAAATAAACTCATCATTCATTAGTGGGAGTAAAATATTTCAACTCGTAAATTAGCACGATTTGGTTCTCACAACGCTTATACAAATATTCGTATATTTGAAAACCATACGAATGACGCGATTTGCGGATAAAAAGGAATTTCTACATCAGAGTCTACAAATGTTGACAGTTCGTTTTTCTCCGTTTAAACCAGTTTAAACGAACTACGTCTACGTCGTCATAAGTGAAACGGCTGCGGTCTCAGAGCATTTGTCGGTTGTGCACTCTTAGAGTGCCACAGAGCGAGATTCATTAGAAACAGTTATAAATTAAACGATTATAATTTCAGCAACGTGCAAATTTAGTACAATAGCAGTCCCATCTACTAAAACACCTACATATTTATCCGTAACAAAAGCTACCCCTTACATATAGTAACTACATAGTTTGTTCAAAATGTTTCAGCATTAAACAATAGTTCGTCAGTTCATAATTAACTACGCAGCATCTAGCCCACGCGAGCGTGAAATTCAAATAACTCTAGGAATTTAATTTCCAGGTAACTTAATTCATGGTTGCACGGACTAAGACAAAGAGATGAATACCCCACCCCATTGCACAAAACGGTTTAAATGCAAACAACAATGTGATCAAAGGGCAGATTTCGAGGTCCTTCCAAGTATTTATTTACAAAGCATACTTAGTAGCTATTACGTGTCAGAAAGGAGATCGATCGCTTTCCTATCCTACAAAGCACGTCTAACGGTGTCAGTCTAAGCCTGGTTTTATATTATCAGTGTTTACTTTATAAATGCTTCTCCTGATAACTACAGCTTAATTAGTTCTGTCATGCTAAGTAAATGAGATTTCGCGTAACTAATACAAAATCAGAATTGAACTTGGTACATTGTAATGGTGTGTTCACATATTGTGAAAATGCCATTCGCAAGCATATGAGCATCTAAGAAACTGGCCGTAGGGTTATCGAAAATGGATGTACGCTGATCACCAAATACTCGGCCCAAACATTAATAGCTCTTCAGAGCAGCCAAAAAACTAGAACACCTAAAAACACCAAAGGCGACAGGCGAGCTTTGCAAACCATAAATCTAGATGTTTGATTTTGACATCATTTTCGGGGAGCCTTCCGCCCCAAAAATAATGAAATTCCCTTCTAGACGATACATAACACAGCGTCATTTGTGAGAGCTAGCCTATTCAAAATGCGTATTGCCGTTGGATTATACCACCAGTAGGAACTTAATCTTATGGTATGTTCACATCCCAACTGTGTTCAACTTTCATTCATATAAATAAATGCACGAACGCAGTTCAGGACAGCGCAAGCGGTAAGCGATTGCGAGCGTTTTACAAGCGACGCGCGAGCTTTTCATGTAAGGCGTATTTGGCATATTATGTGGATATATTATCATAATCGGCGGAAATTCCGAATGTAAGCAGTGGTAACACTTAAAATTATATCTTAACCAGTTTGAAGGTAAACTAAACTATATTGTCGAACTTAAATGTACCTTACAGTTTCTCTGTTAATTACAGTATCTATTTATAACATAATTTTGTTGCTTTGATAATCTTAATAGCAAAAAGGACTAAACACAAAGCGGGTCTTTGGTCATTAACGTAAAAATATCAAAAACTATTCTAACATTTTCCACAGAACAAAGTCCGTAACTGCTTGCTGCGCTTGCGGTCAATCAGCCTACAAAGCGGACATGGAAACAACTCCCGTAATAAGCACCTACCTACTTATGAGTAACTTAAAGTATCCACCAATTTAATCAATACGCGTTCTTGGAAAAGGTGGGTAGGGTGTATAAGAGAGGCATTATTTATAAATTAATATCCTTAAATTTTATTTCTTTTAAGCCTCATTATCTCTTTTCCGGGAATGAGGAATTATATTTATTTTTATTACGTAGTAAATTTTCCCCGAAGAAGTAGGAAAGCACATACCGTGCAACAGGGCGTGGCCCTCTTGACAGACACCGAGTAGGTAGGTACCTACTATTCTAGATTCCGTGATTTTAGAGGGCATTTTAAAAATCTCGCTACTATTTATGCCCGATCGACCTAAGAACCGACTTCTACACCTGTTGCTGGGTAGTCACGCTTACGGTCGCTCAACGGACGAGGCAGTCCAATTCCAGTTCCATTTATACCATACCACAAACGAAAAGGACTACTAAAATTAAAGAAATTTTGCGATAGGCATTAGCAATATTTTACTCAACGCAGACATCGAACTCAGAATCCATTCAGCATTAAAACCAAACAGAAACTAGTACAACAAACCGATACGTAATACAGTAGGTAAGTACCTATATAGAGCGTGTTTCACCCTGGACCCTGAGTTTCAATGTAGGGCTATTGTGCCCTATTCAAACGGAAAATTAGATTCGATCAAATCCGATTATCGAGTATTGAAGGGCGAATTAATTTGTCGCAAGGCTGGATACAGGGGCAATCAAGGCGAACGTCGCAGCAGGATGCATGATGCTTTGACAATGTCTAAGGTAAACAAAAATAATAAATTCGCTCATTAAATAAATTGCAGTGCAGTGGCATTAAAAAATTAAACTAAAAATTCGAAAATATTTTTTTCATCAAAATTAAGGTTGATCTTGCTTGAACATAATATATAATATTTTTATAGAAAATATAAAATATTTTTTTACAAAATATAAAATATTTTTTTCAAAATATAAAAAGTAATATTTAAGAGCAGGCATTGGCATTTAACTTACTTTGTCCGTCAGTACGCGCGCGTAATACGAAAAGCTCGCGGGGAAGGCGTTACGAGTGCTGCAGAAGTGCACCGTGCCTTCCACAAACTGCGACTGAGACTAGATCCCGAACGAGCTCCCTGCATTGATTACTGCCATGGCACAAGGTTCATTTTGGCGGACACAGTAAACTTGCAACGGCGCACTAAGCATTTACTGCGCCGATGTAACCGCGGCATTTAAAAGTTTCGGTCGTGGTTATAGTCAATTTTAATTCAACACAAGTATTAGTTAATTGAAAAATTATCTAACAACATATTTTATTCTCAAGATTTTCTGTTCTGTAACACTATGTGCCTACTCTAACATTAGTGAACCTACCCATTGAGAGAGAGAGAAAGGGGAAGGGTGACGTGTTTTCATTCCAGAATATACTTTACTTTTAAAATGTTAGAATTAATGTCTTGATACACCAACTTATTAATATTTTAGTCGTCTATTCAACTAAAGAACCTCTCATAAAATCATTTATTAATTAAAAACAAAGTGGGTCAATAAATGGGGTATAAAATAAAGTTTACACACATAATCTTTATTTTCAATCTTGTGTATTTTTTTCCAGATCTACGTAAAACGTTGACCATACTTCTTAATCGACCTGGATAATATTAAAATGTCGCACTGGATACTTTGTAGCCATAGCTTTGCCCTCTCCTCCAAATATTGTTTAAAATATGGATGGTATGACAAAATGTAAAAAATTAAATGAACTTAAAAGAATAATGTTTCCATACACGTGTTTTTGAAATAATGGTAAAGTGAAGAAACATAGACACAGAGTCAACAATTTTATGCTAAATAAAACAAACTTCATTATAGACTTCTGTCGTCGCTAAACACTGACAAAAAAAGACATACTACTGAGAAAACGAATGGTCAAAGAATGGATGATTATGTTAATGAATAAATAATATAATGCTCTTACCGTATCAGTATCAGATATTTCATGATACTCGTGTACTTCGTCAGTTTTCGGCACCGTGGCGTTGTCTGCTTTATGTGACCTACCAAGAGTCGCGCTCCTCACCTAATGAAACCATAATAACATCAGGTTGGCTATCCACCACTGGGACAATAAAAAACAGCATCTATGATAATGTGGTAGTTAAGGGAAACTGTACCTTACTGAGAATACCCTTGCTCGTCGTAGGTTCAGACAACGTCCTGTTTTTCTTCAAGCTTCTTGTTTTCACGTCACCTTTGAAACAACACAAATAACACAACTTAAATGAATGCATGAAATACCGACACACTTTAACGAGTATAAATGTTATACTGCACAAAAATGGGATGTTCATATCAGCTGTGCGTTTTGATAAGTGATCGTGGTCACTGAACATGTACACTTAACAAAATATACTTATATGCCTACTTGCTGCCGACTAATTTTAGTGTCTATTGTGAAAAGTAATCCCTGACCTTTGCAGAGATGTTATTCTTTGTGTCGAGTTACATGAACATCCGTTGTTAAGTTAATCCGACCTGTAACTCTCTACCTACAGCTAAGCAACTACTTTAAAAACGATTATTACTTCCAGATCGTAGATAACACTGAACGCCAAAAGGAAACTGAGTTGAAATTGTAGGAAAATACTTAACGATCACATCAACCTCGATAACTAGATGACCTTACTATTCATAAAGACAATATTTATTGTTTTCTTTATCACTTTATTGAGGCAGATTTATGAAAAGGAATATTCTGAAAAACGTATTTAAAATATTTATGTAGAATACAAATTAAATTACCAACATTGTGAAGCGATACTCGAGTATATTTTTTGATACAAAACTTGATGGTAATATTTTTTTTTTTGTTTATGTTAATGTTCCTCTAAATTTAACCAAAATCTTTCAAATTAGTTTACGTGTTTAGTCCTCTAAAATTAACTGTACTGACGTGTTAAACCAGAAACTATTAGGTTGGTGAATGTTACGGAACGTAAATTAACTGTGAACAGACCTCCATAAACTTGTTACGAGATTGTCATTGACAGACATTGGTAAAACCGAGTGCTAACTCGATTTTGAAGCTGAGCTGTTTGTATTCGTACATTTAAATTAGAATATTATAATAATTCTTTGAAAGTCTTTTGATTTGATCTCTTTGATAAAAGTTTTTTTTAGTAACTTTATACATTTTAAATATGAATTTGATGTTACAGTTACATACAATAATTTTCCCACAATCGGCCAGAAACAGTGCCATATCAAGAAACACTTATTGTTTGATCTCTCCAAAATGTTTGCTGCCCCACCCACCTCATTTATACCAAATAGAATCCATATTATATTTGTGTTTTAAATATGTACAAGGCCTATTTTTGTGACAAATAACATACTTATTACCTCAAAATTCGTTAGGAGAATTATAAAATAAAGTATAGATAAGGGCGTGGTCAAACTAATTAAGGAAAGCACGTTTATCTTAAAACGACGACTTGGTTTATTTCTACTGAGGAATCCATTAAATTTACTTATTTACACTGAGCGGTCTTGTTCGCTATCAGGAATAAACAGCGGAACTGTATTGGACATTGACTGATTAGCCATGTCCGTATTTATCGCGTCATTTACTGTATTTCCTGCATTGTCAGTTCAGTATTTTAAAAATAATTAATTATTCAGTAAATCAATGTATATTTTATGACATAAGGGATCTATACTCATGCCAGTTGAATAAATGAATGCACACGAAACTAAATAGAAATATTTCTTTCTCAACATCCCTAAAACTTAATCTTACGTAGATACCGAATGAACAATACAACCTTACTATGCTTAGGTCAGGTCGGTTGTAAATTAATTTTATTCATAATTTCTCCATAGACACTAAAATAGCCGACGGGAAAATAAGTAAAAAAACTACGTACAAGATAGGTCGACTTCGTCAGCGTCATTTCTAGTATCTGGTTTGTTAGATGCCAGCATGGGGTAGGGTGTGGTCCCCGAAGCCCCACTGAGGTGTGACGGTGAGTTTGGGTTAATCAACGGCACCTGTTCCAGATCCTCTGACGGCTTATACGGAGTCACAACTTGACGTGGTGGCTGCAGAGAGATAACAGTTTTAGTAGGCTTATTCATGATTTGCTAAGTCATATAGTACATTACATATACAAATGCATTTTTTCTGATATGATATCTGACGTGCTTTTTAATCATCCATAACCAGTCTCAATATATACATTTGGCTACTACAGATAGAATTGGGCACATTGTATATGTAACTTACGTTAAAAATCTGTCCCTAGTAGCCAAATCTATCGATATATTTAAATGTTCATTGATACTTATTATTATTTTCGGAAAATTGGATTACGGATAGAAAGTATAAGAATTTTATTCTAAGTAAATACAATAGTTTTGATAGTATAACAAATTCTATGTCGCAAGTCTACTTACTTTTTATGTTGATTAAAACATAGTTAGTTGTTATTATGTGAATGCTGTTTATCACATTAACTAATACTAAATATTTTAGTGTTAAAGTTGTTTAATCATACATATTAATCGATTTAGTATCGTTCGAGTATTTCGGATTGAGTCCTGATCGTTATACTAAGCACGTGCATTGTTAAGCCATATTTGTTTAGCACACACAAATTTTACTTTAACCTACATAATAATACTTGCTTAGGTATTATTGTAATCCTAGACTGAACAACAAAAATAAGACAATCCACTAATTAAAGTTAGTACCCAAACACCAAAGTACACACAAGCGTGAAATATATAAAGCATGATGTTTATGTTTACCAGTAAGAAGCATATAAGCGTTTTAGGGCAATTATTGTCTAATCCTTGCGTGAATTTCCTGATACTTGCAGCTTACAATTGAATCTAGAACAGTATAGAATCTTAGAAGATTGATGTTAAAACCATTCTTATCAGGCACTGACACTTGTTTAAGAAAATTGTTCACGCAAGTATTAGAATTTTCAGTACTCACGCAACCGGCAGGGTCCAGGAATGATATATCGCCGAAGTAAGCGCCATCAAGGCCGACATGGCCCGTGTGCTTCACGTCTCCTTGTGGGCTGGAGATCATGCTGCGCTGTATCGTCCGCTTGCCAGTATATGTGTGTCTCTTCACGTCAGATCTCAGCAGAGACGAGCGGATAGACCGCGCCGACTGCCGGATCGGGTGCGGCGATAACGATCCCGACACGTAACATACATTTTTCTGAATGGGGTGATGTAAGCTTAATGTGGGTAACTAAACATCTATCGATGCTAAATCCTGCGTTAGTAATTTGGACGAATATCTTTCACAACATTTAGCTTGATCGAATGGCTGCTCCCATAATGTAACCGTGAATGACAAGTACATAATGATTACGCACGAAATTGCGTTTTCAACGCTAGAAGACCAAATTACAATTACAATATTTGAAACAGGAATAAAGAAGTCTTCTAGCAATGAACAACGCATTGCACACACCAATAAATGAAAGAGTAGTTGAGTGATCCACTGAGAACAGATAGTTTACACACAGACGAGATAAGTGCAGACAGAACACAAATATGTAAGCTGTTGTAGGCGTCACTTACCTCTGGCGGAGTGTAGGGTTTTGTTTGCGTGGGGTCGAACATGCCACAAGCACCGCCGGGCAAGACCCCATACCACAGGGGACACTTCGTCATATTTCTGAAAGCAACGATTACTTTATTATCATATGCTACGACATTTACCAGACTAACATATCGCTAGCAGTGAAAATCCCTTTCTTGGTGTCACTTACAGATATTTTGTTTTGTTTTAATATAAAATGCCAATGCATAGCCCATTCAATAACATTGCTACGTATTTTCAAATTCTCTCAATGAATGTTCTTAAGCATTCTTTTATTTCTACATTACCTTGATTCTATTAAATGCTAGCAGCTAGATAGCACAATTCACAATTACATTTGCAGGTGACAATAAATAATTCTGAAAATATAGTTCGCGATGTCTATTAGCTAAGCAAAAAATTGCATAACGCAAGCTTATGTGCATTTGTACAACGTAGTTGACATTCGCTCACAATTTATTCATTTACATTTTTACTACAAAATTATATGAAGCTGGTTGATAAATCTCATTGAAGAATTTTATTGAAAGCACTTAGTGACGGCAAAGTGTTTCTTTACTTACGTTTTCTATTAATTTACTGTTGTCGAACAAGTATCTTTATAAGAAAAGCGATATTTTGATTATTTTTGATATCAAGTGATCTTGGTCAACCTAGTATTTTTTACGTATTTCGACATTATGAAACTATACAGTAAGTTTTACGTGCGTTGTTACCATACTCAAGGTAACGGAGTAACTTGAGTTTCAATTTCTGTCAATGTTAATAGTTAAAACGAACAAGGGATCTCCAGACCTGTATCGGAAAAAGTTGATACTAGGTATTGTTTTTTTGGTACTGCTAACATTACTGGTTAAAAATGCATGTTACATTAAAAATATGATACGTGGCCATGACTTTGTTAAATCGTTAAAATGCAACAGCGCCTTGCTTATTCTGCTTGCGCAAGCTGACTTACAAATTCGCATATGCTTGCATTAGTTTTAAAAACCTTACGTAATAGAGCATAGCATTATTTTTTGTTAAAAATTTTACTTTAAGTACTGTATGAGCCTATATTTAGACTTGACCAATAAGTGTATTTAATCAGAGACATTCACAATAAAATTTTGTGTGGACTACACATTTGATACAAATGTTTAAATATAAATATAACAGTAAAAAAATTTACTAATTTTAAAGTAATCGCTAGCAATGGAAACCTACTCTTTTCCTAAAACTGTAATGACTTGTCCGGTCTTGTATTCCAGGAATGTGTTACGGCGGCCATCTTCTGGCTTCTGGAAGTTCACCGTCGCTTGAACCTATAAAAGAAGATCATATAGTTTCTAATAGATGGTAGATTTGTTCCATTATTGTACTGGGTGATTCTCCAAAAAACCTTAACTTTTATTTAACAAGTCATTATCCTCCCAGGTTTTTAAGCATCTTAGTAATTTATTTTATACAATATTTTTAATCGGTTGCTTGTAAGCAGTGGTGAGATTTAATTTAATAAAATAATTCTCTGTGTTTTAATCAGCAGACTCGTTAATTTTCGGTTGAGGATAATGGCATTATTATTTTTTTTTTAATTGATGTGAAGAATCACCCTCTCGGCCTATGTTGTAAGTTGCTAAGCAAGAAAACTTCAGTTTGTGCAAAGTATGATTCGGAATTATCGATAGTCATTTAAAAAGGCTTGTCTTGCAGTAAACTTCTTTAAGCTGATGATGGAACATTTCTTACCTGCTCCGGTCGTATGGTAGCTAACTTGGCGCTCAAGTCCTTGAACTTCGGCCGATTATTGAAGTCGTGGGCCCAGCATTCCAACATGGTGGCGTAGTAAGCTTCGGGGCAGCATTCTGGCCGCTCCAATCTCTGAAGTTTTAATATTTATTCATCATAGGTAACTAGGGAGAATATTGAAAAAGCTTTACTTTTGCTTTTTTACTATACTTCATGCACAAAACATTTTACATAGGACGGACTTAATGCATTTAGCATTCTAAGAAATAACACCAAAAGAGGCGGGCTGCCAACTTTTGTTGGGAGATATAAGAGTTCATTTGATAACAGAGAAGTTAAATAGAATTTAACACTTTTAAATTTTTTATGCGAATTCAAATTATTTTCTGAGTCCAAACTATAATGTAATAAAAAGAGTATTCTATATCTATGTATGCGTAGATGATATAGAGTCTAAAACAACTCAACCAAATTATTTTTCACCAAAAACATTATAATTCCTATAAGTATGTGTATTGCCATTTACTCTATAAAAGTCAATATACAATTATAAATCCCTATATTGTTTATTTATATACTAGGCATAAAATTGTTATTTGGACGTTATTATTACTTTCCGCTTTCCATTAGAAGATGTAACAATCACTACATACATAGAATTGATTGTTCCTTGGTGAACCAAGAATTGAGTAGGCACATTCCAGTATTTCTGGTCCTTCCCCTAACTAAGCAACGAAGTAGCATTGGTATTACTAATAATAATAAAAGATTCTCGTTAATTTGTAACGCTTCTTGCTGAGGGTAGTTCAAAATCACCGTAAATATTGCTTTTAAAAGGGGTTACGAACTACTAAACCCCAATTACGAAGACTTATCTTGGAATTTTAATGAAAAAATTTCCGGAGGGTTCTTTTCGCAAAGATGTTTAAGTAAAAAAACATCTGTATTAAAACGGATAATCCCCGTTAACACCAATTCCGTTACAAATTTCTTTTTGATCCTATAAAGTATGACGTACCCTATGTGATACAATTATTTTAAAAACCGGTTATTTAAATTCGACATCCTTTTGAAGTGGATACAGTAGAAAATACTTCTCAAGGGATATGGGAGTTATTTACAAGAATAACGGGTACTTTTCAAGGACACCGACTTTAAACAGATACAACTGTTTCCAGGCCTCCTAGCAACAGCAGTTACATTGGGCTGGTTTTGTTTTCTTTATTACTTGCTATCAGCATTTTATGAAATAATGGAAATATGATTTCAAATAACATACTTTGCATAGTACAATAAATTTGTCGGTATTAGTACCTATGTAATGGATGTTGTCGCTATTGATATATATCTTAAACAAAAAGAAATGGCATTACAAACCTGGAAGTTTGGAGCATCAATGGCTTCTAAGATCTGCTGTCCAGAAAAGGCAGCCCAAGGTTGGAAGCCGTAGGTGAACATCTCCCAAAGACAGACGCCGAACGCCCACACATCACTGGCTGATGTGAAGCGGAGGAACAAGATGCACTCTGGAGCACACCTGTAACGCATTCACAAACTAGCTATTAACAAGTCATCAATATACGTAATATGTACTTATAGCCAACGTAAGTAAGCATGAAATATGCACTGGTACCACTTTATTATGACAACTTGTATTTTTTTCTGATAATTGATGAAATAGGTAAACATGGACAAGCAAATTACAGCAAATTAGTGTTGAATATAGTTAATTTGCTTACACTGTAAAATACAGGGTATGTGTTACCAATAAGCACTAGCGTAGTAATCTTGTAATCTCATTAGGTGACATTCATTATTAGGTTTATTGTGTTTGTTTTTCTTACTGTTTTAGTTAGAAATACCGTTTAATGGGTCTATAACTAATTCAAATAGTGTTTTGACTTATAAAGTGATCAGATATCGTGCTATTTATGACAAGTCAGCTTTCTGAACAGCTATCAAAATAAATACTTTATCAATTTACAACAAATCGCCAGCATTCCTATAAGTGCATTATAGAAAGTCGCTTGCGCACACACAAACTTAATTAATAGTACTTCAAACATACTTCGCCCAGCTTAGACAATCAAATTTCAACTTACCAAGCCACTGGGAGCTTGAGATTTACGTTGTAATTTGTCTGATAATAATCTTTCCCAACACCCAAAGCTCTTGAGAGTCCAAAATCTGATATCTTCACTCTATCCTTGCTAAATACTAAGATATTTCTGGCTGCAAGATCCCTGCAATAGAATTATTTTGATGTAAATATTGAATGCATAAAGATTTTGCTTGATTCATTGTTAGGGATACATTTTTACAATAGGGATTAATACCATCAATAGAACTTAAACTTCACCAAGCATATAGTTCACCTCCGACATCTTCCTAAGGTACAAACATGCATTCATACACTAATGTTTATTCAGGGTTCTGTAAATGCATAATCAGTGCAGATCCTTACATGTTATGTATGTTAAGGACATATATAAGAAAATATGTTTTCAATTTATTTGCAAGAAAACTGCATTTAAATATAAAAAGATGTTTTGCTTTTAACAATGAATAGAGATGCACAAAGTGCATTCGGTTATCTCAAGCATTGTATTTGAATCAGTAACATACATACATTCTAAGAACATTCCAGACATATGTACAAGTTATATAAGAAAAATTCTGTAAAATTCCATTATGTAGAATATCCATAGAAACAGATTTATTTTGGAAAAATTAAATTGAAACAATTTTTTAACAAGGGCTTATGCCATAAAAAAAATAACGAATACAAAGAGGCTTGCTCGTAAACACTTGAACAAATTGAAGAACCCTTCAATATATATTTAGTATTCCTTAAGAATGTTGAATATTCGATAAGAGGGTATTTATGAGAGGAAAATGTTTTTGTTTTCGCAAAAAATTGGTGCTCTTCGATACAAGAACGATATCTGAAAATAATCCAGACATTCGTCAAGTGTACACGTGTCTAATATACCAGTTATATGATAGACTGTTGCTCCCCAAAAGATCACACATGTACTGTTAGGAAATAAACAATTACGGTGCTAGTCCCACGTAATGGGGGGTACCGATACCTACTAATTCAAATTGACTGCGCGCTAATTCAATCTAGACCGAATAAAGATTTGTTTATACGTACCTATGTATCAGTCTTTTGCTTTCCAAATACGACATTCCATCACAGATCTGTTCGGCAAACTCGCAGAGATTCGGCACAGGGAAGTTGAGGCGCAATGACACCTCACGTAAGCACTCTAAGAGCGAACGAAGGGGCGCCAATTCCGTCACCTAAAACATTATCTCATTAAACGCTTGTATTGATTTCGGCCCAATTAGTTCGTAAAAGTGTATACAAAAACTGTGAAGTCTATAGATAATTCTAATCAATTAAAATATTTCTATGATACCCACGCAATACTTTTATGAGGATTCCTTTAAAAATTGTTATCAGAGAAATTCAGTTTGAATTCTTCGATAAAAACACACCGAGCGATCTTTACTAATTTTATAGGTAAAGCAATAAGCTTCTTCGATTTTTTCGCTTAAACCCTTAGTTGTTAAGGAGAAAGTCAAATTAGGGTGATTTATTTATGGGTTGGTAACTTCAAATTCTTTTGTTTACGCGTACAGGACTGAGGACGTTATTGTTTTTCAGCAGTGGACGTCTTCCAACGAATGATGATGATTATAAAGTATACTTGCCAACATCAAAGAATCTAAGTGAAGCACAACGCCATAAAGGCGGACGATGTTCGGGTGTTCAATGCTGTGCATCACGGCTGCCTCTTTCAAAAACTCTGTCGAGTTAGATGTCATCCTTTCATGGCCGAGACATTTTATCGCTACTTGCAGCTAAAACATAAAGAAACAAATTGAAAAAAGGTATATGTATATCCTACGGTTAAAAAAGTATGTTATAAAATCCTTTAAGATCATTTATATTGAGTGTCTAAGTCTTGACCTAAGTACGACCTCAAAGCATATTTGCATTGATAAAATAACAAGAGTCATGAACAGAACCCTGCATCTGCATACATGAATGTCGCACGATCGTCGCGACTGATAGCGCCTGCAACATATGCAAAACGCAACTTAGCGTGTACATTTTTAAAACTGGCTATCTGCACATAATGTATTATTCATATGAAAATATTAAACGGTACATACTCTTTGATTCCCTGTAGTCCATGTTCCCTGTTGCACCACACCAAATTGACCCATTCCAAGCTCTTTGTTGATAGTTATATCCTCGATAGAAATGATATGCTTCGTAGGCACTTTTACATTATTTTCAAAAACCGGTTGCATTTCAAGTGGAATTGATGTATGTCCATGAAAATTCTGGAAATAAGTACAAATGTTGATATTTTGTAGGGCACAACTGCCTCTAAAACTGAAGAAACGAAGTTTCTGTATCAAATCCACGGGTCGGAGTTTGACAAAAATAGCTAATACTTATTTTTTTTCCTTAAACGTTAGCAGAACTCGTGTAATTTGGGTTGTTTCTCGGGACTTCGATGAGCACGAAGCCGGAAAATTAAAATACAAAATGTAATATTTCGTAGGGAAGATTTTTGACTACATTAATAACGACGAAGAAGGTACTTTTTTAGGTAGCAACATGCTTGCTGAAATTAGTTTTTGCCGATTCTTATTGTACAGAGAATGCTACGTATTCGATTCCCTCTAAGAGCGACACATTTTTGATTAGATCCATTGTCATATTTGATTTGCGAACGTGAGACTATTGAAGATATTTATATGTCAATCAACATTGTCAGTTAAATGCAAATTAAGACGTAACGTAAGTGACCTATACATATCCCGGGCACGCTATGACCCCTCTTTGAGGAGTGGCTTGAGAGACGTCACGGCGTCTTCACCTTCCGCCGAAGCAGTTATGCTCGCAAAAAGGGAGGTGGCCCGCGTGAGGAAGCAATCCTACTCCTTACGCCCCAGCCGCCGCAACAGGCGACTCTACGAGCGTCGGGGATCAAGGTACGACCTCAGGCCACCGTAAGCGCGGGTCAGCTCGCCGCCCGACCAGAACCAGACCCGAGCGTACGGCACGTAGCGATCCACGCGCGCCTCAAAGAGCCTATAGACTACCACAGACGGGGCCCTATAGAGCTGATGTTTAGCCGGGGTTGCAGGGTAAGCCCAATGAGGCATCGCGACCTAGGCCCAGAGCGGGAGAAGGAACAGGGGGGTTTTTAGTCAGTAAGAGTCTGACACTCCCTCCCGCCTGGCCCTTGGCGGGAGAAGTCATTTGATTTTCCCCTCACAAAACAAAACCTAAACATATCCGGACTAAAATTTTGAAATGGATCACAAATTTAGTTTGGGGAATGAAAACCACTACTTGTCAGGCGGAAGCCGGAACATTTATATTTTCTTAAAATAATTTAACGCGCACTACAAACAAAATGCGACGCAGTCAGCAAAAACGACGCCCATAGTGAAGAATATCTTAGCTAAAAATTTAAAGCCGTGGTCGGCTAGAAAGCCAATTTTTTTAAGTTTCATCATATGTTCCGTCGTACGGCAGATAATATGATAAATGATATAATTCTTTGTATGAGATTGGTTTTGCATAACATATGTATACTTGGCGTGTAGGTTGGAGATCGCAGTTTAAAAAGTTCAGAGTTATCAGAGACGCTGATATTTGCTGCAGACCCTTTTTGTACTCAGCGGGAGAATAATCGTAATGATAAAAAAATCTACGGTGCGCTCACATCTGGCAAATGCAACGCTCACGCGCTGTTCGGAAAACGTTCGCAAGCATTTTGCGAACTGCACGCGGGCGGTTTTGAACATAAAGATATAATACAAGTTTAATGCTCGTATAATATCAATAATAGTATCTCAGCCCAAAATTTTAATGTAAGGACAAACTCTTAACTGCAAAATTCCTATGTAGTATTAGATCGTTCCTGGAATGATTTGTCGTGTTTTCCACTGAATTTCAAATACTTAGATTGAAACTCTCAGAAGACGTAATTGATACTGTTTTCATGGCTTTAAGGAACTTTTTCCACTTAAATTCGATATTTCTTATTATATCCTTAAATCATCGTGAACCATGACATTCCTGTTCTCCATATATGCCTAGGTCTTAGTCGGCTCTTACGAAACGTAATGGAGGTTGTAGTAAGTCACAACACCAAGGGCAATGTAGGGAAGTGGTCATATCATCGATGGACTATACACGCTCGAACGTTGCCTGTAAAAAATTGGGTACTGGTTTCCAGGATCGGGCGTAACCTGTATCTGACAGACGTCGTTAAGAATCTTTCGTCTGTCGGCTAGTATAGACTGATCTCTAATAGTCCTAGAGATTGGTGGAGAATCACGAGATCGATATTTAAAGACCCGGCCTAGCTGCCCATTTAGACCGCACAGTATTGTCGCCTTGGCACCGAACACGCCGGACGCAAGTGTCGGCTAATAAAGGACAAATACAGCGAGGCCTTTAGGGCCAGGGAAGCAAAAGTAGGGAGCCTAGACGCCTATGCAGAGGCTACAGGGAAGGCAGTGGTATAGTAGTTAGGTGCTGCAAAGCACACAGAGACTTGAGGACGTCTTCCATGTCCCCGTCAAATAAGCTCGCAAGTATCCATTTACAGATGACGTTGGTGGCTATCGAAAATTCGATTTTAGTGAATTAAAAGCCACAGGTGAAGGAAAAGCTTTACACTTTCTTTTTTTACTCCCTAAAGTTAAGCGCCTTTTGAAGGTTTGCTTTCTGCTCTGCCGTCACTGGACCTTCTAACCACGGAGTAGATGACATAGGGTAGGCTTCTCGCTATGACTACAATTACATACAAGTGTCGAGTTAACTTTCAGTGTGGACTATTCAGAGCCTCCGTTAAGCAGTAGACGTCTGCCTACTGATGGTGATGATAATTGCAGTTATAGTGAACTAAACACGCAATTAGTGACTGCGAGGTTAGTGCATGGATAAGCTACCGGCTGCAAAAACATTCACGGGCGGGTTCCATGGAACAATTTCATGTGCGATCCACACAATAAGAATTTGTATTTGGAGTGTTTGTGTCGCACCCACGCATCTTCGCATGCTTAGATATCATGTTCACGCAAAAATCAAAACACGTAAATATCAGCTCACTCGAAGCATGATCTTTTATTTGATTTAGTTTGATTGTAACGTGACCATTATAAGCACGTCTAACAATGCTACGCAGTCAAGTTGAGATTTGATTTATTCTAACGCCACGCATTTTACTTCGACTTCGTTGTAAATAAATACGACTCCTAAGCAAGGCGTTATAAATCAGATACATAATGAAAGCAAGCATTTTTTTCTTAAGATCTAGATGAAACTAGATAATCCAAGAATAAAAGTTGTTAGGCTCAGACACACTAAGGTTGGTAAGACAAAATATCTTTTGCTTGCTAATGGCTAGCTTTGCCACTTCTCTGCTTTTCCTGTGTTATAAGACCCAACAAAGGGAATACACATTTGGTATAGATCAAGCAGCAGTGGTCTCTAATAAACCATTTTTTTTCTAACATTATTCTACATCCCACACATCCGAATATAAGAAAGTCCCTATGACTGTGGCATTATTCTCTTATCTAAAAAAGGCCAATTATGGTATCTCAGGCTGTTAATGTGGATGTCATTAGAAAAGTAATCTAAATTTATTATGATACAATATGATATTATTGCTGTATAATATTTGTAGAAATGAACATTTTGCCGTCTGTAATCCTTGAAAATATGAAAATTTAATAATAAAAAAGGGTATGGAGAGCTCCAATATTCTGCTTATGTTTCAAGAAAACAATGAAACCAACAACGGCCTGATAAAAATTTGAAATGACCATCAACACAAAATTGTAGCTTTAATAAAAATATAAACTGACGCTTCAAGATTATTTTAAAGTTTTTAAGAAATAGATATTTATTCACAGTATAATATCAGTACTAACCTGGTCTCGTTTTCTGGAGGGCTTCAACATTTTTCGTATCTTGGATATGTATGGGTTTGGAAAATACTTTGAATATATTTTTTTATAACGTCTCTGTTCAGGCCTCGAGAGTCCAATCTGAACTAAATCTTCTGTGAGTACAAATTTTAGTTGGGAAACTTTTGTAACTTTCAATATATCTCTGAAACAAACGTGGAATTTAAGTTTTTTATTCATCAATACAAAGTTATTAACAAGTTTAAAAGTTTTCATAAAACACACTTATTTGTAAAACAGAGATAAAGTTTATGCCATAAATTATCTTTCAACACAAGTAATTTAAAAAAGTACCCATCAGTTTAAAATGGGGTCCCTAGAGATCGCAATAGCAAAAAAACTAAGCATGTGGTGTGTGTGTTTGAGCATAGCATCAAACAAGCCACCAACCATAAACAACACATAACTAAAATAAAACTTTTATAAAGTTCGCAAGTATGAGCGTACAACTTAAAAGATTCAAAAAATTACTTCTTTATCGAAACACTTCAAAGTCAGTGAAAGGTATGCAACTTCTTATTATTATGTCAACACGATAAGTTAAGGGTTTATAAACAAACTGAAACAAAAAGTTGTTTATATTTACCTAAACAATTCATAATACTGTTGTAGCTCTGCTTCTTCTAAGAAATCATTTAAATTTTCACGGTCTTCAAATACAGAAGTTGATTCTGGAAAAAAAATATACCGAAACAACATTGTATCTTAAGGAGAAAAATGAGTTTTAATAACATAAACTATTCGTTTTATTTTAACTACTCACCCATGATGATGTCGGAGAAACTAAGTTACACAAAATAAACTTTTATAAAATAAAACAGACAGATGTTCGAAAGCTACATCCATCCAACTTTACAGTACTGAGCTCAACACAAATAATGTTAGCATTTTATCACGTCAGTCAACTCAATAAAATAAAAATATGAAGTTAGGGACAGTGCTGACCCAACACCGTACTGGCGTACTCGATTCTTTTCTAGTCAATAATCGACTACATTCAAAATTGACAAACTATTTTGATACCTATAATATTTTGTGGTGTTTTTCATTGTTATTGTTTTATGAAATCTGTTTGTTTTTTTTGTTTTTTTTTAACCGATTAATAACCACGGATAAATATTTAGTTAAGTGTTGACACTTGAACGTTGACATGCCACTATTATATTAATACCTTATTGCGATATCAGTCATATGTAAAGTTTTGATAGTTGGTAGCGACAGAAATAAAAATTTAATATTTATAGCTTAATATGATGTAAATATCATGTTTTATTTAATATGACAATTTACTTTGATTAAAACGATAAATTTTTTGAAGAAATTAAACTAAGAAAATTTTACAAATTGTTCTTTATTTTTGCAATAATTCGAAAAGTAGAATTAAGAAATAATCACTGACATATTGACTGCATTTTCTGATAAATATTTTCCATTAATTTAAAAACGAAATCTAATCGAGTGACTTTAGTTGATTACTGGTTTAGTTGTTTAGTTTGATTCCCACATCACGGAAATCTGACAGGTGTTTGAAGAGGGTGGTTGTCACAAAAATGTTTTTTACAATGGTAGGTTTAAGTTGTATTTTTGTTAGTAGCCGAAAAGACAGAACATTTGGATACTAACCACAAATTACTACCACCGTTTTGTCGACTAAATTCGATTGGGAACTCAGCTCCAATCTAAAACGAAAATATTTTTTTACAAATACATAATGTTATTATAATTTATGTGTAAAGTAATTTATACTGAATGGATTTTGGTGCGTGCACTCGCACTCAAATGAGATGCAACAGAAAAACTGTTACAATCAAGCTTCGCTTTATAATAATTATAGCGTGGAGACTTCTCTCTTCTATAGTATACCAGCAAAGTAGTAATGTAATTTGGGCTAAATGTGTTAATTTTATACATTTTCTACGATAATAAAGTTGGTCAAATTCACTTATCCGGTCATTATTCTGTCTCTCCAGGCTAGATTTTTTGCTATGTGATCCAAACTAAAATTATAAACGCGAAAGTCACTCAGTCTGTCTGTCTTTTCTTCACGCCTAAACTACTGATCGTCTGTGTTTGGTACAGACATAGTTTGGAACTCGCGAAAGGATTGTTGATACTAAAAACCTACAGAAAGTTACAATTCTACACGAACAGAGTCGCGAGCAAAAGCTAATAGAAGTATATAAGGATTATTTATTAGCAGCTAGTAATTTAGGCGCGATGACATTTCAAATACATGGAGAAGTGAGATGTTATTTCGAAAAGCTGTCTGACGGGGACACGGACGGGGACACGGAGTGTCCTCCTCCAGGACAAAATCTCAAAAGCGGCAAAGCAATTGCAGTCTGCAACTCTTAGGGATTATTATCTCAGTTTCATAAGAGATATATAAGGTTGTGGTGGTCATTTCGATCTCTTCATATTTTGACACATCCTGAACCCTTCTTATAAGCATCATTTGTTCTATTAGTGTACTAACTTTTGACACGAATAAAATAGCACTTTATTTATGTATCGAACGCATATATAAAATTGAACTTCAATAAAAAATCCAGACGAATCCAAAATAGCAGACAAAGTAAAAATCCCAATTTGTAAATAATTATTCGAAGGAATCAAGGAAGTGACACAACACCACTATTTAAAACGTATTTATGGTTCGAAGTATTTTCCACAAGATTTACGAACCAATAATTGAAGCAACCATTGAATCTGCCCTGCAGAGCAAAACTTTGGAATGATCTTCCGGCGGCGGTATTCCCGAACTAGTACGACCTTCAAACCTTCAAGAAATGAGCGTACTTCTTCTTAAAAGGCTGGTAACGTACCTGTGACTCCTTTGATGCTGCAGGTGTCCATGGGCGTCTCCGATCACTTTCGTATGCTCGTTTGCCTCCTATTATCAAAAAAGTCTGTGTTTTCTTGCTCCAAAAACTTTATTGGTATGTGCGCGGTGTGAGGACTCGCATTGTCGTGAGAGTGAGAATAAGAGAATTCTGACGCACCAAGTAAAGCGAGCTGCTTTCTGCTCTTGACAGAGCGAATCTGGTATCCATCCCAGTATCCATTTCCAGCCCATCATTTTCCATTCTTATTCTATCAAGCAAAAATTTTAAAATGGCTACTCATTCTTTTTTCGCATGGACAGAAATCAAACCTGTTTTTCTGCGGTGCTATATTGATATGCTTACCTACAAAAACATTTTACGGTGTCAGTGATTTTACAGGTATTTTGAGTACCATTCTCTCTCTTATCGAAAATACCACAGTGCCCGAAGACCAGGTTGTTTAATCACTATCAGTGTGTATTGCCAGCGACGTCGTATGGTACCGACAGTGTCCCTTTTAACTTTTAGCCTTGTTGAAAAACTCAGAGCAACACAACTCGCGATGGAACTGGCTATGCTCGGGGACCAAATCCGAAATGTGAAATTCGCCGAAGAACCAAAGATCGACATAGCTCGTAAAGTCTGCAGGCTTTAGGCTTGGCTTCGAAGGAAAGAGGGCCGAGAGGCTCGAAAAGTACTAGAGTGGCGACCTAGGACCGGAAAAAATAGCGTGGGCAGGCCGCCCGGTAGGTGGACCGACAACATCGTCAGAGTCGCGGGAGCTAATGGATGCAGATGGCAACTCGTCCTTCGACGACTAAGGGGGAGGCCTTTGTTCAGCAGTGGTCGTCTTCCGGCTGATGATGATGACGATGATGATATACCATTAAAGATTCGATAATACTTAAATAAAACCGTGTATCGGTGTAATAGTTATGGCCAGAAAATATCTAGAAGAGGCGTTTTCCCCGTTATTGAAAATAAACGAAGACACGGAGAGAATTTTTGAAATTAGTTTCGATCTAGTTGTAAATAACTTATATCATAGTTTAATACCGTTTAGGACCATAGGGACGACCTGTCTAAAGCAGTAGTATCATAATTATGTGATTGGTTTTACAAACAGCTTAGGTTTTATCTGTTACTCTATGCGTCTGTGGAAGAGTCTTTTCTTTTATAATAACTCCCTGGTTGAAAGAAGTTTATTAGTATATTTTTATGATAAAATTATTACATTGTTTTTCAACACCATTTTACGAGTAATATCTATAAAGTGTAAGATGAATCGTCTTTATTAGTAGTATTTCTCTCGTTTGTTCTGGCAACACCGTTACCTACTTTGCAAATATGGCGTAGAGTTGTACAAAATGCAGTGGGAGATATTTGTTAAAACTTGTCAATTCTGAAATTTATTAAAAAGACATGTATCTAGCATAAGACACTTTCGATCGACTATAGTGTGCTAGACCGAGTATTAATAGTGAAATGTGAATTTTACGCAATGTAGGTACATTACCTAGATAATATTCTAATTTGAAAATAAGTTAGGAATTTCACGTCTTATCGTTCGGCCGTCTAGTGGTTTGTTTTTAGTAAAACGATCTTTGTTTACGTATTGCAGTTTGTCTTTTGTCTCGCGACTGTTAGACCTATAGACCATTGTTTGTATAATTTTGGTGCAGTTTTGTCAAGACAGGTTTTTGAACACAATCTGTTAGGGGTCATTTTAAGCGTTATATTATTATTTATTTTGTACAATAATGTTTTATTTACAAAAATATTTGTTATTATAAATAAGTTTTCTTCATTCTAAACGATTTATTTCACGTTATATCATGTTTGTTATTTAGTTTTAAGTATGTGTTATGGACTATAAGTTATCAAGAAAATGAAGAACTTGAAAAGAAGATTGCTGGCTGGTTGGGATCCTGGTGAAAACATCTAGCTAGGTGAGTGGCTATGCAATTTTTCTATATTTTTTAAAGTTCTCTATAGTGTATTTTGTACCTACCAGTGTGTTAAAAAGTTTCTAATATTAAATTAGTAGTGGGACTCTTTTTCTTTGATTTAAAAAAATAATGATGTCACATATCTGTGCACAAATTTTAGTTAAAACATATTTCTCGTAATTTTTGCTTATTCTGTGGTAAAACACAACATAAATAACCCTATAATGTGTAATTTCTTGCTATCCGACTTGAATAGGGCCTCTAATTGAGATGGTTTGTACCCATGATTGTTATGTAAATGCATCATCAGTTATAAATCGAACAAAAGGCTAGTAGTCAATTATCTTTCATTATGACTGTAATCAGGAAGCATTAAATATTGAACACAACAAGACATGCTTATGCAATTGTTTTTGAATACATTCTTACGTAGCTACTCAAATAAAACTAATCCTGAAAGTTATTTTAAATGTATGTATTTACTTTTAACTTTTTTTTTACAGTTTTTACATTACTTTTACAACATTATTTTTCCTTTTACTTTTACAGCTACACTAATTTAAGTATGTAACGGTAGCAACCTACTTGTAATTTATGTAAATTAAATCATATTATCGTCAATAGTCAGATTAAGTATATAAAAGATCTGATCAATATTCAAATAATCATATATTTGGACATAGTATCATGTAACCTAGTCACTATAAGCCTTAAGTAGGGTACAATAAGGATAAAATGTTTAAAGCGGGCTCTTTATGCAATTCATTTCATATCCGGTATGGTATCAAATCGTAAATAATTTGATGCATTATGCAATTGCTGTGCCCCTCGCTGTGTTCTATATCTATCATCACATTCAGATCATGAGAGATTTGCGTTTGTGTTGTAGTTAGAGCCTTATCTGGTGTATATCATATAATATTTTATGTCAATGTCTATATGTAATACTGATAATCAATCTTATGCCTACTTTCACATTGCAAATATCTGACATTCTTCTTGTTTTGAACCTATTTATCTCTATATCAATTGTAAATTTCATTTTCCTTCTATATTCTTCAGAGTGGTGCAAACCTGTGACACAATCTCATATAGTTAATGATTTCTTCTGCAGTCTCAATTCCTATTGCTCTACTCTCTCATTAGGTATTGTCTGTAATGCATCATCTAGTAGATTACAAAAAGTGCACAGCTATCATTTAATTATATTTTTTCATATTCTTATGAATAAATTTTATATCATTCTTATAGTTAACTTTGTACCATAACATAGAAAACATTTGTTTGCACTGAAAGTAAATAAAAATAAAATCTAATTAACTCCAGTATCACGACACACGTGTTGCGTCCTTTTAATTAGCCACATGGTGCACTGCTGCTCAAAAGAATATGGCAGTGTTTTTATCTTGTATGTACCCTAAATGAGAAACGCGAAAAGCTGTTCTTATGTTAAACAAATAAGGTTTCATATCGTTAATATGTACAAAATCATTATGCAAATCTCTTCCACATTCGTTATTTTAAAGAAATTCGTAAATAGGCTTTCAGGAACGCAAAGTTCTAAGATTAGTCTTTTATCGTTATTGTAGTTGATAGCTGCCACAAACAAATGTATCATCTTTTCAATATCAAAAGAAGCAGGTTATTGTTTTTCAAACCTAAAATCACGTGGGTAAACGTTTTAACATAAAGGCGCGTGTATACGCACATTCGACAAATAACACTGGCGGTACCCATCTCATATTTATGTGCAACGATAATTGTAAAAAGTCTTTGTATGCATTTCTTGGAACCTTTCCTAGTTTTACAGCCATTATACTGACAGTGGTAAGCCCAGCCTACTTTAAGTGCCTAGGCTGACCTGAATTCCTCTTGGCGAAATTTCACCCGCAATACGACTGTACCGATTTACTTAAAGGGTGTTTGCTATTTTATTTATCGAATACTGCGTGTACACAACCTAAAATGAAACATAATTATAACTATCGTGTCAAACATTTCGTGACTTTGATTGATGGATTGATAGAGGTGTGTATTTCTGTTTAGGATACGAGTATTAAATAAACATACGTTTAACTCATTGCAACTAGAATATAACGTATTCTAACACTATTATTTTAATGTCTGTTAATGAATTGTAATCACACTCTTTCTCAATTGTACTCTACTAAGGTTTATGATCCGAAACCGATGTCTTTATTATGAGGGTAGCGATAAATTATTCCTCGCACTTTGTATTCGATCCTAAAGTTATGTTTGATATTAATTAAAATCTATAAAAAATTTGGCGATAATGTGGTTACTTGATTTATAATACAGTCTACCAAACACTTGCTCAAAAAAAGCATCGGTTTTTGCCACAACTTAATAACAACGAGTTCTTTTGTATATCTTCTGTTTTATCTTTTACTGTTTTCTTTTCCAACGTTTTATAATCTAGATTCACAAAGGCAACAATTACGTGTGTACCCACCGTACCAGCAAGTACAATCTAATATTTTTTCAAGAATTATGAAAATCGACATAATTTTCCGGCCTTAACTTTGGTAATAGCTTTTTGCTCACTGGAGGTATTCTATTTCTGTTCTACTAACCTATAATGAGCGCTTCCATTATCATTATTGCTGTAAGCATTTGCACATAACGCCCGTACATATTACAAAATTACGTCATAATCTCGGTATTAGTTCAACGATCCACATATCAGTTTGAGCTCCGTAACCCGGGGCAACAAATACGTTTCAGGGCTTTTACACATTAGCGATACGGCATCTACCTAACGCAGTTTGTTAACGCGAAAACCCCAAATATTGTAATTTCAAACAAGAAGGGCTTATATATTTCTGTTTTTGTACTGCTTTGAAATTGTTTGGTATGTCGTGGCGGGCTCTTTATGGACAACCACATCTTGACCCGACTACCTTTGAACATCTGCTTTGTTTATAAATTAAAAATATTCTGGACGCTTTTTGTGTATTCCACTTTTCTATTTTATGAACGCCTTTTATTTTGCATTCAACATACAAAAATTTAAAAGTAAAGTTAGCTGCATAAACTACTCGAATATTTAACAGTATAATAAATATATACTTTTAAAATAACGGGCTTACTTCTAAAGTCGTTTAGATTTCAAAATATCTTCGTCACTTCCCCTTAACCGCGACCTTAAGTTACTTTCAATCTAATAGTCTTGCAAACAAAGTTAACCTTTGCTTTATACTGGGTCGCACGTTAAAACGACCTGCATGCAAGAGTTTACATTAAAAATAACTACAAGACATACCTACATATAAAACATAGTTATCAGTTGTCACTAAAGCTTTGGGATTACTAGCGTTGTGTACTTGGCGTGTCTGAAAATTGTGTCCGGAGATCGGACCAGGACCCTTAGTACACAAACAGTGTTTGTGGTTTCTACTGTTTACCAAGCTGAGAGCTTCAGCAAAACCATCATAGCGGTCTTACTATTGGTTTTCGACTTAGATTGGATTTGTAACAATGATAAACACAAGTTATAAATATCTTGAAAGAAAGAAGCGTCACTCGTATCCGTGCCTTGTCCAAGCTTACTAATATTACCATTTCAAATATCACATATCCTCTATCGAAAATCAGGTCGGCGGCATACGACACCTGGCGGGTGTGACCAATAGAAAGTAATCGTGCGCAAACAATAGAAGATGTTCTAATAAAAAATTTGAATTTGAAAATAACTTCGCGTATGTTTATTGAGTTGTCAACTCAAATATTACGTTTAACTAAAAAAATGAGATAAACAATTTTAAATTTGCAAATTACTGGAAATATTTTTCTGTTGATATTTAAATAACAATCACGGCAAGATATGTATAGCAAATACTTTGAGTTTCATTATATATAATGAACAGTTTACTGAATGAATTTATTTAGAGAAAAAATTTAAATGTTTTGATACGTTTTATACATTTTGGCATCGCTGTGAGAATCTACTCCCTGGCGCCGCGCCGTATTAAATTGGTTTATTACGACAAGCCTTAGTGCTCGAGGTTATGACTTTCTTACTTCATCGCATGAAACTTTACTCTGAAATTGCTTTGCTGCAAACGCAGTTGAAATGGAAAAATATTGGATTTTGATTGGATTTTTCCCTGAGATATTGGAGCTCCCTATTGTGTGCGCACAAGCCGGATCGTTAATTGGATGATTGGTCTTGGTCTCTTGATTTCAGCTTTACTTTTGTTTTCTTCGTTATTTATTATGACCTAGATTATTTAGGTATTTGTTTGGCAGACGTTAATTAGTGTAAAAAATAATTCATTATAACTCAAAATCAGTTATTGGTGTGACCAGAAATCAGTTGTACAGGTTATCAGTCTATTCTTATTCTTGTCATCGCTCAGCTGATGAGGTTTGAGATCAATATCCGATAAATAAACCTATTGTTGTAAACTGAAGTACTTTTCTTACCCACTTTAATTGTTAAATGTAAATCGTTCTGAAATTCTATGTCAAATTTACATATTCTCATAAACAATTAGTAGGTACGAAACAATTAGTAGTAACTTAGCGTTAAAA